ATGTTTTTCTATGCAAAAATATGTCATATCTTTCCCAACAACCCAGTACTTAAAAGAAGGGATATCACATGGTTGGCTATGTGGTTCTCATCCTGCAGCCGAGGGCTTGAAAATCACACTAGATATTTGTGCCCAAACTCCCAAGAGAAGCCTGGAGGAGAAGCGACTGCACACGGCCATCCCTCTGCCCCAACCCGGGTAGGATTTATCACTCACCACCACTTCCCATGCACTCTGGTGAGTGCATACACCCTATAGCAAAAATGACAAAAGCGAAAATGAAAAAACACGGGCTAGATGGTGGCCCAGTGGTGGGGTACAGTGTTATTCCAGCCTGATCCACGTGGAAAGGTTCCAGGTCTGCATCTGAGAACCTCCCAAAGTATGCTACGCTCACACATGCCCGTTACGTGGAGCTGGCTGAAGCTGGGAGTAGATCATAGCATCAGGACCCTGCAGGGGTGGTGGTGGCAGGGGGCATGCTTATTTCTCTGTGTCTCCTCTGTATATATTGCTGTGTCTTTCATTCAAGGAATAAATAAAAACTGAAAAAACCCATACATGTAAATGATGGCCACTGTCTCATCGTTACTATTACCATGGTGTGGGTCACAATCCTTACCACCTCCAAATGTTTGAAAATCTGCTCTTGGTACAGACGCTCAAACCCAGTTATCCTTCACCTGATGCCCATCACTCACCTCTGGCTCTCCTAGGCTGTTACGACCTCAGACCTGTCACCAGCTTGGCCTGGCAGAACTAGCTATGGGAAATGAGCACCTCAACTGAGGGGCTCTCACCAAAGCACCAAAGACTAGCCTCCAGAAGCTGGGTTTGTTTGTGGTTTTCCTCTATGTGGAAAAATCACCAGGTGTTGGAAAACCGTTTGTGATTCATTGTACAGTTTAAAAAAAAAAAAAAGAAAAAAAGAAGTTGCAGAGTGATTGGAAGGAAGGAGGGGAGAAAAAAGAAGGAAGGGGAAAAAGAGATGGAAGGAAGAATGAAAGATATGCAAAGGAAGGGGGAGGGGAGGAAGGAGATAGGTGGCGGAGTGACTGCTTTCTTTATACACTTTGATACTGGTTTTTGTGTTATTATTTGCAGTCTTACAAAGAGAATAATAAATGACTAAATGAGATGCTACGCTAAAGCACACATAACAACAAAGTTCACTTTCCAGGACAAAGAAATAGACCGCAGGTCATGATGAGCTTCCATTTTGCCAACCAGCTGGAACTGTGGTAAAGTGCTGGTGTTTTATGAGCATCCAACTCATTCCCATGACAGCCTGCAGCAAGTGTGTGCTCCCATTCCATGGCGAGGGCAAGCAGGGAGTGGGTATTGGCTTTACTGCACCAGGTACTGGCACTGGGCGAACCTCATGATACACAGCAGTGTCTGCTTGGCATCCCAGAAGACTTGCTCTGCATGCCCAGGTTGTACAACTTATCTGAGGGTACACAGGTGGCTTGTGGGCAGTGGAGTACCTGGGATTCCAAGGCAGGCCATCGACATCTTCTCTGCACTCTATAGGTCCCTCGCTCTTCCACACCTATCTCCAGACTGAATATTTAAGGGAAGGATATTTGTCCCTCCTACTTCTATCTAGCCCATGGTGTGCTTGTGATAAGCTTGTAAGACAAATAAGTTAATTCATAGCTCTACAGAGACACAGCACTTCCATTCTTTCCAGTTACTTGCCCATTCACTGCACTATCACTCCTTTGTTTTTTAGATGAGCCTTGCACCTGGTGTTCAGTAAATGCTTGGTGAATTATCAAGTGAATAAAACATGTCCTCATACTAATACCAGAACCACTGAAGGCAAGAGCAAATATCAACCATCTGAACAGGAGAGGTTATGGATTGATTAGAATCTAGTAGAGGACTCAATCAAGCAAAAATCTAAGAACTGTGAGCGATTTCTATGGCATTGAACATTTAGAACACAGGTACAGATTTTAGTATGAAAAGAGTTTTAAATACTCCCTTAAAAGCTGCACATAGGGATCAGCAGATGGCATAATGGGTACATCGCTGGACTCCCATGTAGTTGACCGTGGTTTGAGTCCCAGACCTGGTGACTTAAATGCATGGGCGCATGTGTGTGCATGCCCAGGATCCTGAGAGGAGAATGGAGGAGAAGGGATTGCAGTGTGGCCATCCCCACTGGGGGGTAATTTCTTGCTTTCTTTCTCTCTGTCTCTGTCTGTCTTTCGAGTGAGAGCACACACCCTATAGCAAAAACCTGTCCAAAAATAAAAACCATGCTGTACATATATCCTTCAGAGAATAATCTGCCAGAGATAAAATTGTGATTTACATTTCTTGGTTATTTTTTTTAAGAATTATTTTTTATTTAATTTTATTTATTATTATTAATTTTTAATATTTCCAGATAAATACAGAGAGAGAGAGAGAGAGAAGGAAAGTGAGAAAGCAAGTCTCCAGGTCCAAGACTTGAACCATGGTCAGCCATGTGGGAGTCCAGAGCCCTTAACCACCATGCCCCACCATGCCACCTGTCAGCCCTTCGTCCAATAGATTGGATTTTTTTTTTTGGGGGGAGAGGTTTTCACTATAGGGCGCGTGTGCTCGCCAGACAGATAGAAAGAGACATAGAGACAGAAAGCGAGAAATCACCCCCCAGGGGGGATGGTCACGCCGCAATCCCTTCTCCTCCATTCTCCTCTTGGGATCTTGGGCATGCACGCACACGCACCTGGCATGAGTTTTAAGCCACCGGGTCTGGGACGCGAACCACAGTCGACTACGTGGGAGTCCAGCGACATAGCCATTACACTAACTGCTGGTTCCCATAGATTGGATTTTTAAATAGATTTTTAAAAAATAGATTTCTTCAGCTCAGCAGGTGGCCTGGAGGTCAAGGAGACTTGATCCCATGTGGCCAACTAATTACGCAGTTTGAGTCCCAGACCTGGCAGACTGATAAACATTTGGGCATGTGTGTGTACATGCCCAAAATCCCAAGAGAAGAATAGAGGACAAAGGATTGTGGCATAGCCATCTTCCATTGGGGGTGATTTCTCACTTTACCTCTCTCTCTTTTTCTCTCTCTGGTAAGCATACATGCCCTATAGAAAACACACACACACACACACACACACACACACACACACACAAATGTTTCTGGAAATTTATTAACAATAATGTATTTGCAACCTATGCCTCAGACAAGGAACTGATAACCAGAATATACAACAAACTGAAGCAGCTTACCTGGAAAAAAGTGATCAATCTAATTAAATGATAGGGAAATGAGCTGAACAGATATCTCTTTAAGGAAGACATACAAACAGCCAAAAAGCATATGAAAAAATGCTCAACATCCCTTATCATAAGGAAGATGTAAGTCAAAATCACAATGAGATACCAACTAACCCCAGTCAGAATTGCTAAAATTAATAGAAAGAAACAATGATAAGTGCTGGCAAGGTTGTGGTGAAAAGGGAACTCTCCTACGCTGTTGGTGGGAAATGTAAATTAGTACAGCCAGTGTGGAGAACAAAATATAGCCACCTCAAAGACCTACACATAGAATTACCATATGATCCAGGGATTCTACTCCTGGTGTCTATCCAAAGGATAAGAAAACACTCAGTTGAAAAAGTGCCTGCACATACATGTTTATTGGGGGCACTATTCACAACTGCTAAGACATGAGATCAACCCAAATGAACAGATGAATGGATTGAAAAAATGTGGCACATATACACTATGAAATACTACTCAGCCATAAAAAATCAAGACTCTAGCATTTGATCGAAAGTGGATAAATATGGAAGACTTACTGCTGAGTGAAGCAAGCCAGACTATGAAAGAGAGACATTGTATGTCCCCACTTAATATACATCAAATGTCCACACTCTATGGAGAAAACTGAAAGAATGCAGGGTATAGAAGCATGGAGTATGTTGCAAGTACTGGAGACAATGCTGGAGGAGGATGAGAGGTGGGGGAGGGTGAGAGGAGGAAATCAAGGAGAAAAAGAGAGAGACAAGACACTGAAGGGACACAGAAATGAAGGACTGTCTGTTGATGATAATGTGTAGGATAATATCTTTAACTGGACTGGTTTGTAGTTTATAAATGCTGGAAAAATTACTTTTACAAGCTGTGGTGACATCAGTGATTGAATGCATAAAGTAAAATCAAATGAAAAAACATTTTAAAACCCAATAACTAGAAAGCAAAAGTGGCAAAATATGATAAATAAGTTGCACGGCTGGTAAACATGCCTGGTATCTACCATTTTTTGATAATAATGTTCTGGCAAGTGTGGAAGACCCAAGGTGGAGTTGGAATCTGCCGTCTCACAACACTACCTCATCAGTTGGCCAAAGGATCAGGATTCAAGATGACAACCCTACAGGGGGCTGGTACAAATGGTAATCACTTTCAGAACTGAGTCTAGACTTTGCCTGTCAATCACACACGAGAAATCTTAAAGCTGATCTTTCAAAACGTGAACTTTCGCTTGATAGAAACAACAGTCTATCAATGCATGAATGGATAAACAAAATGTGGTCTATACCTATAATAGACTATTACTCAGCCTTAAATAGGAAGAATATTCTGAAACGTGCTACAGCATGGGTAAACCCTGAGGATATGCTGCTAAGTGAAACAAGCCAGGCGCAAGATAAGCAATGTATTATTCTACTTCTGTGAGGTATCTAGAATACTCAACTTCATAGGGACAGAAAGTAGAATGGTTGTTACCAGGGGATAGGAAAAGGGGAAATGGGGAGTTAGTAACTAATGGTACAGAGTTTCAGTTTAGGAAGATGATAAAGTCTTGGATGATACTGACGGTTGCACAATAATATGAAAGTAAGTAATGCCACTGAACTATACTCTATAAGTATTGGGTTGTTGGAAAAGTCATGCCACATTTTTGCATAGAAAAATACAAAAAGTACATGACTTTTCCAATAACCGAGTATTTTACCATAATAATAAAACAGGAGGGAACTCACCTTTGAAGTTGCCGATATATAGGCCAGGCAAGATCTAGGAGAGACACAGAGACATTAATTGTCACAGATGGAAGGTGTCAGTGTTCTAAAGGTGCACAGGGGGATGCAGTATGGTCCAAACAGCCACTCCCTGGTCAGAGAACTGACTAGACATCCCTATTTACATTATCCGGGTTGCCCAAGGCCACTAGGAAACCCGCTCAAATGGTCTGTGGACAGCTGCACACGGGTGCCCATCAGTTCGTGAGCTAATGATCTGCATCTTATTATGTCCTCCACTACTTCCAGCCCTTCAGCACCCGCCACCCCTCCTGCCTACCCTAGGAAATTATGTCTCCTGTCGTCTGAGACCTTGTACATGCTGTGCCCACTGTCAGGCAGAATACTCCTGCTCTTTAATTGTTTAGGGCCCATCTCTCACTCACGCCCTGGGGAGGCCTGTTCTGAACTTTCAACCCTCTGTGCTTCTGTGAACAGAGACTGTCATGGGTGCATGATTAGGCAAAGGTTTGTCCCTCTGCTGAAATGGAAACCTTCTTGGTCAGCAATAAAATCCTGCTACTCACTGCTACTTCCCAGCTCTGGGGCAACAATGATGGTCAATAAAGTGTTGTTATGGGGCCACCATTATGGGGGCGTGGTGGTTAAGGTATTAGATTCCCACATGGATGACCATGATTCTAGTCTCAGATCTGACACGTAAAAATCATGCCAGGCATGTATGTGTACATGCCCTAAATCCCAAGAAGATAATGGAGGAGAAGGAATTGTGATATGCCATCCCCCCGGAAGGTGATTTCTCACTTTCCCTCTCTCAGTCTCTTGCCAGTGAGTACACACACCCTATGGCAAAAACATAAAGTAAAGAGTTGTTCTATAAATAAATGAATCATTTAACTATAAGGGGGCTTTAAAAAGATCACGGGAAAAATAGAATTAAAGTATAAGTTTATCTTATTGCAACAATTTTAAAATTCATTTACTGTTTCTGTAACACACATTTTCCATAAATTTTTGGAAGACTCCCCTGTATACAATAGGTTAATAAGGATCATGCATTTGCTCAAAAATATCTACTTCTTCTAAGGCAGTGGTTATCAAACAAACTCTCCATTGGAACTCCAGAATCTGCTAAAAATACAGATTTCTGAGCAAGCCTCCTCCCATCCCCATATAAAGATTCAGCAGATTTTTTTTTTTTTTTGAGAAATTTTTGCTGTATGGCATGTGCGCTTGCCAGAGAGACAGATGGAGACAGAGAGAAATAAAACGAGAAATCACCCCACAGGAGGGATGGCCACCCATGATCCCTGCTCCTCCATTCTCCTCTTAGGATCTTGGGCATGCATGCACACATGCCCAGCGTGAGTTTCAAGTCACTGGGTCTGAGACTTGAACTGTGGTCAGCCATGTTGGAGTCCAGTATCCTAACCACCACAGCACACACTGGCCCGATTTAAACAGATTTAAGATGAGAGCTGGGGACAGTATATTCCACAAGACCCCCATGATTGCAAAACATGAAGCTAATTCTTGTCCTGCCAGTACTTCATGTGACACTCTGAAATCCAAATATGGACACTGCTCTGCAAGCTAAAAATATGTTGGCTACATCATCCAGATAATTTCCAAGCACACATAGCATGTGGGTTGCAGTGACACTTCACTGCAGAGCCCTGGATGCCCTGGCCATACCCTGTACCACACCCGCCCCTAAAGCTCCAGCTGTCTCACATTCCCTATTTTCGTCCACACCCACTAAGAAAGCTGAAAGTTCATGTGCACTGATTTCTTCAAGCATCTTCCTGATGACTGGCTGCCTTGCTAAAAACTGAAGCATGGGTTGAGTCACAGCAGGGGAGGTGCCGTGGCACATGACAAGGTACCAGTAGTACGCTTATGGTTAGCCTCAGTGCAGAGGGATGACCAAACCAAGGGGCCACAGAATGTATCAATCAAACTGGGATGCTTCTGGGAATGAAAAGAGGTTTTGTTAATCCTGACTCCCTGGCCCAGCCTGGTGACATAGCTGGAAGCAAACAGAACTATAGTTGGAAGCCACATGGCTGACTGTGGGATTAGAGTCCCAGGTTGGTCTGAAAACATGCCAGGCATGTGAATATATACCCAGAATCCTGGCAAGTTGGAGAGCTGGAGAAAGGGTACCAAGGAGTTATGAAACTCTGCCATGGGTCCCTCCCTACCTCCTTTCCTCTACACTCCTTCTTGTGTGTGCCTATGTATTCTATCATAAATAAAATAAAATTAAAAAATTAAAAATTACCCTAGAAAAACAGGCAAAACCCAGAAATGACCTGAGCGTGGGGCTGGGCAGTCACCCTGGCTGACTTAATACCCCTAACCCTAACCATCTTGGGCAATGCCCATTGGAATCATAAGGGCAGCTATGTCCACAATTGCGATCACAACACGGAGGCAGGACAGGTTAGCTCTGTCACTAGAAATATGTGAGACAGTATCTCCAGAAAACACCAGCACCCATTGCCAAGGAGCTGAAATAGTGAACAGGTCTTCCTTGAAACATAATCAGTCTTCAGAACTCTCCTGGAAGGAAGGGTGGAGCAGACACTTCATCACTCCTATTTTAAAACATAAAAACAATGCAAGTTCATCTTGGAAGTGAATCAGACTGAGGTTCTCTGGCAGCTCTAGGCTGCAAAGAGCTTTCTTTTTTTTTTTTTTTTCTTTCTGAAGAGAGACTTTTGCTATAGGGTGTGTGAGCTCACTGGAAATGCAGAGAGGGACAGAAAAGGAGAGAAAACAGAAAGCGAGAAATCATCCCCAGGGGAGATGGTCACACAGCAATCCCTTCTCCTCCATTCTCCTCTTGGGATCTTGGGCATCCACCCACACACACTCAGCATGAGTTTAAGCCACTGGGTCCAGGACTCAAACCGCGGTCAACTACATGGGAGTCCAGTGATGAAACCATTATGCCATTTGCTGGTTCCCAAAGAGCTTTTCATGTGTGACTCCCATTCTCCTGAGTCTCTCCCATCTCTGTAAGGATGTTGCATTAGATACTAAAGGGCATAATCATCACATGGCTGATGGCGACAAGGACTCTCTTCTTCTTCTTTTTTTGGAGAGGTTTTTGCTATAGGGTGCCCGCGCTCGCCAGACAGAGAGAGAGAGACAGAGAGACAGAAAGCGAGAAATCACCCCCCAGGGGGATGGTCACGCCACAATCTCTTCTCCTCCATTCTCCTCTTGGGATCTTGGGCACGCACACACACATGCCCTGCGTGAGTTTTAAGTCACCGGGTCCGGGACGCGAACCGCGGTCTACTACGTGGGAGTCCAGCGATATAGCCATTACGCTAACTGCTGGTTTCCAAGGACTCTCTTCTTGATCAAACTTTTATCAGGCTCCTTTGTGTCTTCTCAGACCACGAGTCCAGTGTGAGCAAAGAATCCTGCCAAGCTAATTAACTGGAAATCCCACCAAGCCCCTCCTCCTCTACCCATGACATCTGTTCAAATTCCTCTTGGTATTTTTTAACCCACTGCCTCACTCTGCCCATCAGGTTTAAATCTTACCTTGCCCTTCTGTTGGGAGCTGAGTTCAATCTCTCCCTTGTAGCAACAGCCTTGAATTAAGTTTTTCTAACACATTTTAAAAATTTTTAACAAGTATCAGATAATACATCTTTTATAGCAATGACTGTCAAGGGCTCCATACCCATGAAATTGACAGTGACAATGGACCATAGAGGAGCATGTTAATTTTTTTTTTTTTGAGAGGTTTTTGCTATAGGGCTTGTGTGCTGGCCAGAAAGACAGAGAGAGACAGAGAGATAGAAAGTGAGAAATCACCTCCCAGAGGGATGGCCACACTGCAATCCTTTCTCCTTCATTCTCCTCTCGGGATCCTGGGCACGCACACACACGCACCCGGTGTGAGTTTAAGTCACTGGGTCCAGGATATATTCAGCAAATATATCCACTCGAACCGTGGTCGCCTACATGGGAGTTCAGCGACAGAGCCATTACGCTAACTGCTGGCCCCAGGAGCACGTTAATTTGCGTAGTCACAGAACGTATTACGGTGGCCACGAGGTCAAGTGTTTACTGAGTTCCACATTTGGAAACTGTGCTGGTCACGTGGTGTACAGAGATGACAACAGATGTGACCCTGCCTTCATGGAACTTCTTGCCTAGGGAAGGTGAAGGTGACTTGATCATTCCAGAATCACAGAGGAAGCAGTGACACTCAGTAGATCAAGAGGAGTCGGCCAGGAGGGAGGGAGGGACAGGCAGGAAGAGAGTGAGATAGGCAGCCTGGAGGAAGAGGTAAAGTCTCTTCCAGAAGGATCTTCGAAAGGGGGGAGAAGAAGGGGCAGGATAGCAGGGAGGAGTTGGTCCTGCATGGTGGACACTGTAGCCACTGGACATTTTCAGGGCTCTAGCTTAAGTGCCATGACATGGAATACTGCTAAGATGTCCGAGATATGTGGGTCTGTTAGAAGAAGAGTGTTACGTGTTTTTTACTGAAATATCTTGGGAATAGCACAAAAAAGGAAGGAAGGTGAAGTCCTATGTACAGTGCAACACCTTCCTAGCCATACCTGCCTATGGGGCATTAGGGGCACAGGGTCTGGGAGGATGACTGCAGCATTTTTGTGTGAGTTTTCCCGCATGGTATGAGGGCTGACTGTGTGCATGCATTTGCTTTGATTTACTTTTTCCTTGAAGTCAAGAGGCATTATTCGGGGAAAAGATGATGGGCCATTTTTGCTTTTCTTCTTTGTAGTTCTACTACCTCCATTTTTCTTTTTTATTTAAAGGTTATTGCTACAGGGCATGTGTGCTCGCCAGGCAGAGAGAGACAGAGAGACAGAAAGCGAGAAATCACCCCCCAGGGGGGATGGCCATGCCACAATCCCTTCTCCTCCATTCTCCTCTTGGGATTTGGGCACGCACGCCCATACGCCCGGTGTGAGTTTGAGCCACTGGGTCCAGGACTCAAACCGCCGTTGACTACATGGGAGTTCAGTGACATGGCCATTATGC